GAAGGCAGGACCACGCGCATCGAAACCGGGAGCTCCGCTACGGTGCCGCCCGCATGGCCAGCAACAGCCACCACGTCCAGCCACTACAGCCAATCTCCGCCCACACTGATGCCTCTAGCCCCGCCCCCCAGCGCTCATTGGCTATCAGGCCCGCAGCCTCTCGCCTATTGGGCCAGACGGGACGTGGGGCGGGAGGCGGAAGTGCGGGCCCGGAGAAAACCCAGAGGCCTCTTTCAGGAGGGCGTGGAGGGCGGAGCTGGGGGAGGGTTTCCCGAGGAGGAGGAGGAGGAGGAGGAGGGGGAGGAGGCGGCGGCGGAGGAGGAGGAGGCAGCGGCCATGGCAGCTGCGCGGCGGCGGCGGCGCTCGCGACGGAGCGCGCGCCCGGCTCTGAATGAGCGGGGCCGGGACTGAGCCGGCAGGGCGCGGGCCCGAAGAGGCGACCGGCAGCGCGCGCGCACGCGCCTTGGCGAGCGTGTGTGTGTGTGCGCGCGTGCGTGCGCGCGCGCGCGCGCGCGCGGCCCGCGGCAGCTCCGAGCCGCCTCCGCCGGGCGCGCGGGCGGGAGGGGGAGGGGCAGGTGAGTGTGTGCGGCTCGCGCGCGCCCGCGAGGGGCTCCCCTTCCCCTTCTTCCCCATCCCCATCCTCCTCCCCGGCGGAACCCTGGCCTCGGGGTGCCCTCTGGCTTGCCCTTCTCAGGTCAGCCCTCCTCCTCTTCGCTCCGCACTCCGCGCCCTCCCACCTCCCTTCCGCCCCTCCCGCAGGTGTTCCCCCCCCCCTCCTCCTCCTCCGCCACCTTCCCCCACACCAACGGCCAGGCTGGGTACTGTTTCCGGGTCAGGGCGGCCCGCGGGGTGAGGGATGGGCGGTCGCAGTGGGCCCCGGGCGCGCAGCCCTCGCCACGCCGCGCTCACGCCGCGGCGATGGGCTCGCGGGGCACCCTCCTGGGGGGACTCCGGGACCCCCCTTCCCTGCTCCCTCCCCTCCCCCCGCAGGGGAGTTTGCAGGCCTTTCTGCCTTTCTTCGTTTGCAGACCTTGCTCCTTTCCCAGGCAGATTTCCCCCCCCCCAAAAAAAAAAAATTCCCCAAAATCCACATTTTCCCAGCCCACCGGCACCAACTTGGAGCCATTGGGAGCGTCTCCCCGACGCCGTGGCGTCGGATGGAGTAACCTGGGAACGCTGTTCCTTTCCCCCACCCGGGCCGTGGGCACGGTCTTGTGTGTGTGTGTGTGTGTGTGTGTGTGTGTGTGTGTGTGTGTGTGTAAGTCAGGGGGTTATTTCAGGTGGGTGATCGGGCGTGATAAAGCGTGTTAGTTGTAAAACGCCTGGCTTCCGAGGCCTCCTGGAGACCGTAGCCTGCCTTTCGCTGAGCCTCCGCGGTGCCGCGCACCCGCGGGCCTGGCCTGAGTTCAGGCGCCGCCGGATCCGGTTCCGCGTTGGACTCCGACCCGCTTCTCGCCTGCCGGGTGCAGCTCCCCTTTCCCTGTGCCGCTGCCAACCGGTGGTTTTTTTTGCAATTTAAGTGCATCTCAAGCAGAGTTGTTTTTGTGGGGGGTTTTTTGGTGTTTTTGTTTTGTTTTGTTTTTTTAATCTTTGGGAGCCTTATGCTATTCCTTTACCTACTTCAGAGAGCTGCAAACTTAAATTGGGGGATATTCTGTGCTGTATTCAGTCATATAGTTTGGTTTTTTTACCCCCCTCCCAAACGTTGGTGTTTAAACCATTCATATGGCAGTTGTAGAAATTCAGCCCTTTGGTGAATTGTTGACTCCAGCGTGTACCAGCCTAGATTGCGGCTTGACTTGTTTAATAAATCGGAATACCGTGTCCCCAGTAAGTTGACATTGGATTTACAAGGAGGAAAGATGATTTTAATCTTTCCATGTCTGATGCAAAATTCTTTTTTGTAAAATTGTAGGTGAATTTTTTTTTCCCCCCCTTGTAGCTGAGGTGTCTGCATGTCTTTGGATTTCCTAGAGATGTCATTTCTACAAAAGCCCCGAGGATTGATTTGGCTGTTTCACGGTTCTGAAACGTATTCTGCTTTATCTCAAGTTTTTGTGTATTCTTAGTAATTTTTAATGACGTCCCAAGTTTACGTTTAGATGATATTAAGCATATCTTAGTTCTAGAAAACGCTTTGAGGCAACCAACGTGGAAGTTAGCCTGGCATACGCTTGTCGTGTTGGTGATCTAAAGACCATTTCCAAAAGCAAATTGCGGCAGTGAGGAAACCAGCAACATTAAAGGTTCCCCAAGTGGGGTGGGGTGTGGCGTGGGCAGAGTCTGGGCTTTGGGTTCAGTCCCTCCAAATCCTGGGCCAGTGCATCTAAGCTTCACTTCCATTTGTTCTTAAGATTCCAGCGAGGTGATAGAACACACACTGGTCTCCTGTAAGGGTTTTTAAAACATGCAATACCTGACTATTTAGTCAGGGGCACTGGCCTCATTTCCCTCAGGTTGTTAAAATTAAAAATGACAGCGAGCCAGTACAACAATAGCTGTCTGGTGTGAGCAAATCAAAATTATACCTACTTTTTTTTTTGTCACATTGGCAAAAAAAAAAAAAAATGGTGTGCAGCAGAATTTTATTAGTTTATGTGTGCTGTGAGATAAAAGATTGAAAATCTCTGGTCTAGAACATGTTGAGGGCTCAAGGAATGTTAATTTCTCTCCATACAACAAACACCTGAGTCCCCTACTCTGTCCTTGGCATTGGTTAGGACCTAAAATGCTAAACTAAGCAAGACTAATGGAGGCTCTGCCTCCTTCCCCTGCATTGTCACAAGCTATGACAGTTGAGCAGTGAGCAGTTTCTCAGTACTGAGTCAGTAGTATTCCCAGTCATTCTTGGTAGAATCTGTTACAGAGTAGGTGCTAAGTATAGCTTCAGTGAATTGAATTGAGTTGATTATATATCTACACTGAATTGAATTGGAACATTAAGTAAATATGAGTCCCAAAGAATATTCCTGTCTGCAAATCAGTGTAATTGATAAAATCAAGTGTTGCTTGATAGTTAACTTGATTGCATTTCCCCATTTAAATGCAACTGGTTGGGAAATTTATCTTGGAAATTATAATATCACCAAATTTCTAAGAATGTTTATTGTGAGTAAGGTATTCTTGGCTTTTGAGTTAAAAATAGACCTAGGTTTGAATCAGAGTCATTGGGTGTAGAAACATGGAAATATGCTTACTCTTCTGTGCAGTTCTATGAAATGAGAGCAATAATATCTATCTCCTAAGATGATTTTATGAGTTAAGTGAGATAATATTAGTGCTTGGCACATAGTACCTGGTCAGTGAATATTAGTTCCTCTCCCATTAATCACAAAAGCAAATGTTTTGCAGAATGACAAAATTCTTAATTGCTAGTATTTCATATTGTGCTTATAATTGTTTCAAAATTTTAATTGAAACAATTAAAAAATACACTTGATTGTAGATCCCATTGAATTTTCTACATACATACGGTTTTACTTCTTCCTTCCCAATCTGAACGCCTTTTCTTTTCTTGATTGATTGCACTGGCCATAACTTCCACTACCATGTTGACTAGAAGTGATGAAAGCAGACATACTTGTGTTAGTCATAGTCTTGGAAAGGGTCATCACCTTGCCACTAATGTTGTGTGTCATTCAATAAGAATTTTTCAAATTGAATGACGTCAGTGATAACTGGAAATAAAATTTCCAGTTGTTTCATCAGAAAAAGTGGATCTATTATTGACAAAATATTCACATCCTCACAATAGTTTCATGCCATGTGGTCAGAAGAGATGCTTGACATATCAGTTTTCTCAAATTACTTAAGTCTTGCTTTGTGGTCAAATATGTAATCTATTCTGGAAAACGTTCATGTACACTGTGGTCTAATATATTATCTATTTTTGTGGTCTAATATACGATCTATTCTGGAAAATATTCCATGTACACTATAAAAAAAAGTGTGTTATGCAATTTTTGATGATTTGTTCTGCATATGTCTATTAAGTCAATTTGGTCTAATTTTCTGTATGGATGAACTGTTGATGTGAGTAAAGTATTAAAATTCCCTATTATTACTGTCAATGTCTCCCTTATGACCATTAGTAATTGCATATATTTCAGTGCTTCTATGTTGGGTGCATAGGTATTTATGATTGTTATAGTCTTTTCTTGGATTGACCGCTTTATAATTATGTAATATCTCCTTGTCTTTTTTTACATTTTCTTTTGTTTTAAAGTCTATTTTGTCTAATATGAGTATTGCTACCTCATCTTTTATTTTCCGATGGAATATCTTTTTTCCATTTCTTCACTTTCATTCTGTATGTCTTTCAGTTTGAAGTTAGTCTCTTGTGAGCAGCCACTCGATGTCTTTATTGGAGCTTTTAACCCATTTACATTTAAAGTAATTATTGATAAATAATTTTCCTATTCATCTTTTGCTCTCTTCCCTTGTGGTTTGCTAGTTTTCTTCAGTGTTTCAGGGACACCCTGTTTTTCCTGCTTGATCCCATTGTTCAGGAAGCAAAAGGCTCAGGGCAGTGTAGCTGGGAACAGCTGTGGTGATCTTGCAGGTAATCCAAATCCCAGCAATAGAGTTCCTTCCGCCTTGTGAATGTGGAGGGAAACTTAAACAATGATGCTCCCTGAAGCTCCTGAAGGGTTCCGAGCCTTCTCTACTTGGGATCTTCCTCTTGTTCAGTGGCTGATTATTCAGCCCCCGGTTGTACAGGAGACATTGTTGTCTACATGTGTATATTTGGGAAGGGGTGAAGTGAGTTCAGTGTCCTCCACCGCCACCATCACCATCCTGGACCTCCCATGATTGACATTTTAATTTTAAATTTACTGTGCTATATTTGTGGTTTATAAAGAAAAGTTAAAAAAAAATACGCCTGTTTTTCACAGCTTATAATAGGACTTTTAAGCTTGACTTCAGAACAGGAATATAGATTGTAAAATCAACTTAATGCATTTATTTTTGTGCATTTTCCCCAGGTTTTGAGTCCCATCATGGCTATCACACAGTTTCGGTTATTTAAAGTTTGTACCTGCTTAGCAACATTATTCTCATTCCTGAAGAGATTAATATGCAGGTAAATAAATTTTATGTTCAAATTGACCTGTTTTTCTTCTTCCTAGTTAGATCCCTTCATCTGATGCATGCTTTTTATTTTTATCTTAATGAACAACTCTTAGTTATTAAGGTACCTAATTCTAAAATTGGCAAAGATCTTTTATAAGCCTTAAGTTACTGTCCATACTGTTTTTACCTATGCTTGTTTAGATAGTTTTTTAAATAAATTTTTTCTTCCTTTTTTTTAGAGCTGGCAGAGGACGGAAATTAAGTGGAGACCAAATAACTTTGCCAACTACAGTTGATTATTCATCAGTTCCAAAACAGGTAAATTTTTTTCAAAGGTTGAATCAATGTTTTGGAACCATATTTTCAAACTCAATTTCAGACCATTTGGTATATCATGAAATTAATTTGGATTTTTGTTGTTACATATTTTGATTCAAAAGTTTTTACTTGTTTCTTTATTTTATTTCCTATTGTTTGGCTGAGATTTTCTATTTTTCTTATTGGTTTCAAGAGTGTTGCTAGTTTGTGGTTGCTTGTTGGACCACTTTTATAATAGTTAAAGTCTTAGTAAACATTTATATCACCTTGGGATTGGTGTCTGTTGATTGACTTTTTCCATGTGAGTTGAGATTTGTTGATTTTTGTGTGCTGAATAATTTTGGGTTATTTCATTGATATTTTGAATATGTTTGAGACTCTTACCTTGTTTAAATACTATCAAGAATGTTGATATTCTTTATGTAATCAGGCAATCAACCTGATTAGGCTTACGTTGTAAGTCCAATCCTCCTTTTGTGGACTGCAGTTCATTTTTCAAAGTATTTGCTTTTGTTTTGTTTTAATGGATATAAGAATGTCTAACTCAAAGTAAAAGTATTTTTTTTTAACTTTTGATGTAGTTTTGGTATGTGAAATAAAATTTATATTTTCCTCTTGGTCAAAAAAGTTTGAAACCTAATGTTTTAGCAAGCCCATTTTTCTAATAAACAATGAATGAAATGTCAGTTAGGTTCTCTTGATATGGCTGACAGTATTGATCAATTAAATTTAGACAGACATTGAAGAGTGGACTTCCTGGGATGATGATGCTCCCACAAGTATAAAGATTGAAGGAGGGAATGGGAATGTGGCAACACAACAAGATGCTTTGGAACAACTGGAACCTGACTATTTTAAGGACATGACACCAACTATACGGAAAACTCAGAAAGTAAGTTAAAGATTTGTGTTTTTAGCAATTAAACTATGAAAGTGCTTTCCATATTCCCATAGTTAAAATTCAGTAGTATAACTAGTACTGTTAGAAAATCTATTTCTGATTATTAATTTGTGGTCTGTCATGTTAAAGGTGAAATGTTATATATTCAAGTGACCTAGACACAAATCTAGTAATTGTACACCTTTAAAAATTATATTTAGATAAATTCTGCTGTATATCAGAATTTGTGGAAACTAAGCTAAATAAAATATCGTGTATCCCCCAAAATAAGACATCCTCCAAAAATAAGACCTACTTACACGTTTTCTTCTTAGTGAAATATAAGGCACCCCTCTAAGAATAAGCCCCCCCCCCCCTAGGCTAAACATGAGAGATTTGGTCCACTGATTCTGAAAGAAATGGAGTCACAAGAAATTCACCAGGAAATTCAGGAATTGGATTGTTATGATGATGTTCCAGAAGATGATGACACGATTGTCATTGAATAAATGAGTAAATTCTTGATACTGTAGGATTCACAGTTTGTCTGGTTTGTGTTGACAACTACCATACTACCGTACCGTATATAGGTAATAAATTTCCTTTATTTTCATTTAACAATAAATGTGTACCGTATTCTTCTTCATGGAAAAATAAGACATTCCCTGAAAATAAGACCTAACGCATCTTTGGGAGCAAAAATTAATATAAGACACTGTCTTATTTTCGGGGAAACAGGGTACAGTTCTTACCTTAAAAGTGTACACAATTTAGTGATGTCTATAAACTAAGTGCTTTCTGTTGTTTGTAACCATTATAAAACTGAGGCAAAACATTATAAGTCTCTGAAAACTTAATTATAGTTTTATGTTAGTCATCCATATTTTAATCCCTTTTGAGTTGAATATGGATGATCACTTAAAGATATACAGAATTATTAAAAAAACAAAAAAAACAAAGGCTGAGTATTTTTCTTTTTTTTAATCAAGTAGTACATATACTTAAAAAATTTTTTTAAATCATATATTACAAAAGAGCTTATATTGAAAAGCAAAGAACTTCTGCCCCATCACTTTTCATAGGCAGTTCTACTTTTCAGAAGCAGCCACTCATACATAATTTTCTGTTTAGGCTTCTAGTGTTTTTCATTATACTTATATTTCTCTATCTGTCTACTATCTATCTTGCTTAAATTGCTGTGCCTTGATTTACCATTCACAAACATTGTCCATTGGTTTTATACTCTGGTAAATGAAGGTTTTTTCATACTACTCTTACCCTTCTCTTTCAAATTTTATAATGTTATTATTCCAGTATACCTCACCAGTTACTTTGCTATTTATAAAATACACACATCATCTAAACTTTCATTTCTTGTTCAGTCAAGCATAGAAAATATTTTTTTATAAATATGCTTTATAAATGAAGAACTTATTTGTTCCACATTTCTCTGTTAGAGTTTTTCACCCTCTTCTATCTTTCACTAGTTTCAGCTATATGTTTATATTTTCAAGGCTGATAACATTTTTTTAAATATATTTAAATAAGTTTGCAAGTTTATTTATTTATTTTTAAATATATTTTATTGATTTTTTTACAGAGAGGTAGAGAGAGGGATAGAGAGTTAGAAACCTTGATGAGAGAGAATCATCGATCAGCTGCCTCTTGCACACCCCACCCTCCTGGGGATGTGCCTGCATCCAAGATACATGCCCTTGACTGGAATCGAACCCAGGACCTTTCAGTCCGTAGGCTGACGCTCTATCCACTGAGCCAAACCGGTTTCGGCTCAAGGCTGATAACATTTACATACTGTAATCATAATTGTTTTTTGTTGAGTTATCTAAATGGCTCAGTGCTTAAAAGCATTAAGTTGTGTATTTTTCAAGGAGTTTAAGTGAGTTTTTTATTATTTTGGAAGTATATTACTGCTCTTAATAGTAATTCAGTATATTACAATAGTACCTTAGTAAGTTAATTAGAATGAAAATGCTTTTAAGTTACAAAAGCAATATTACTGGCTTGAAAAAGTTAATATATTTATAGATATCTACATGCATTGAGAGTTGGTTATATTTTAATAGGATATAGCTTTTTAAGTGCCTAATAACATTTTGGGGATCTAAGGTCTAAGAAAGAAAGCAAGGGAAGAGGAAGGAGAAAGAGGAAAATGTATTATTACTTTTTAAGAGAAATACTGTATTTCTCACTATGCAACTGATTTGCATGACAAGAATTTTGGTACTTATATAGATTAAATTTTTTTATATTGTAAATTTTAAAAAAAGGTAGAACATATTTAAAATAATTTTAAAATGCTTGAGTAGTTAATTATTTTGTCTATTTTTATGTAGTGATGTATAAAATATCCCTATAATTCTATTTCAATTAATCTTTCAGATCATTATTAAGAAGAGAGAACCATTAAATTTTGGCATCCCGGATGGTAGCACAGGCTTCTCTAGTAGATTGGCAGCTACGCAAGATATGCCATTTATTCACCAATCAGTAAGTATGTCAATGGTATCTAAGCAGGATTGTTTTGATTCTGTTTTCTTTAAAGAAGAAGAAAAACAATCAAAATGAATTGAACACAGTGATCCCTGAGAACAAGAGAGCATGTAGGGGAGAAGCCACAATGCCTGTTTATGACTTAGCTCTATCAGTAACACACTGTCACCTCCACATTATTTTAATCATTAGTAGTTACTAAATCCAGCCCAGATGCAAGGGGAGAAGAACTAAGTGCCACCTCTTGAAAGGGAGTATCAAAAAATTTGGAAACATAGTTTTAAGCCACTACATCTGTCCGTCTGTTCATCTGTCATATTTGTTTAAAATACACAGATGCTTCTGAGGTCTCTGTCCAGGGGTCCTATGTTTATATAAATTTTTTATTCAGTGATCAAACCCTATTTTTACTAATGCCAAATGTTATGCTACTAGTAGGTGCTAGTAATGTCATGGAAAGTAAGCAAAACAGGCAGGTCCTTGCCTCAGAAGAATGCATTCTCATGGGGAAGGTACAATGTTAAATAAATAATCATTACACATAATAAATATTACAGATCTAGATAACTCGTATGCAGGTACATGATCATGTGATAGCACAGTAGCACCATAGATATTTCTCTAAAAGCATAACACCAGAATGTGCAATTTTTTATTTTCTATTTCTGAATTATAAATATTATTCATATATGTATGCTCCATATTGGTAAAATTGTTCAAAACTCTTCAGTGAATTGGCATACACTCCTCAGTGTATGCCACCTAACAGTAATTATATGATATTATAACATAATTATAGCTCATTATAAAGTTGTAAATATATAACTGCTAAAAGAGTTGGGAAGGGGTAAAAAGGGTAGGTAGAGGTTGTCTCCAATGCTTTTCCTCCCAAGCAGACAAAATAGGGGAGAATGGTAGAAGACTCCTGCACTTTGTTCACTAGAACAAAAATGTTTTGATGTTTTAATATATTTAATTGATTTTTTACAGAGAGGTAGAGAGAGAGAGAGAGAGCTAGAAACATCGATGAGAGAGTAACATCGACCAGCTGCCTCTTGCACACCCCCTACCGGGGATGTGCCCGCAACCAAGGTGCATGCCCTTGACCGGAATCGAACCCGGAACCTTTCAGTCCGCAGACCAACGCTCTACCACTGAGCCAAACCGGCTTTGGCAACAACAAAAATGTTTTATCACCCATTCCACAAATAAGCTTCTTTTAAATTGCACATTCTAATTTTTTTGGGGGGTGGGGAGGGAGGCTTACCATTTGTGTTGTCATGGTAGCTCTTTTTTATGCTAAGGATATTAACTTTTTCTGTCATCTTTTATAGTATTTCAGCTTTCTATTTTGGATTGGATATTTTTGGTATATTTAAGTTATATATAGCAAATCTGTCTTATCTTTTACAATTTTTTCTTTTTTACTTAGAAGGCTATCTCTACTAAAGGATCAGATATCACTCCCTTTTGTAGTCTTAGTTTCACTTTTTTATTTCTAAATGTTATATACAGTAAAAGTCAAAATGGATAAATTTGTTATATCTAAATGTTATAAATGAATAAATTATTCGTATCTAAATGTTATATGCAGTAAAAGTCAAAATAATTGCCAGTATTGACAAAGGTACAAGGAAGCAAACTTTTACCCTACTGCTGTTGGGAGGATAAATTGGTACAACTTTTCAAGAGCGTCATTGTATTTTGCTTCACTGGCTTTAAAAATCTTTTCTTTGATTTAACAGTTCTACTTTTTAGAAATTTATATTAAACAGATAATTAGAAATAATTTAAAAACAATATTAATAGGATAGTACATTTATGGATAGAAGGAGAACATTTAACAGCTTTTCATTTTTTGGTGTAAGTGCTGAAAGAGAGAACATAATAAATTTGTTTACAGATTGGTTCTTGTTATTTTATGCACATAATCACTTCCATACCTTACTAGAAACATTCCACAGTGAGCATTCTCATTTGTCTGTGGAAGAAAAAGTGAACTTTTAGAATCTGGGCTGGGAAACAGTGGGAAATAGTGGCCAGCCTATTGGTAAGTAGGACAGGAAAAGAAGGACAAAGTGGAAGCACTCCAGTAAAGTGTAGCTTTTGCCCGATTCCTCATTTTGCCTGGGACCCCCCCAGTGTCACTGAGAAATCTATACAGTTCTTCTGCTGAAGTGAGGATGACTGTGCTAGTTTGAAACTTGCTATTTTACTTCATCTCCAGCACAGAGTTATCCAGTCAAGCATCTCTAATTCAGTCTTCTCTTTCCGCCACCCTCACCCTGACCCCTTCCTCTTACTGGAAAGAGAAACAGAATTGGTTTATTCTTGTCAATTCCAAACTATAGTGGGCAAAAAAAAAAGTTAGGTTAAAGGAGTATTTAAAACAAAGGAGGAAAAAAGCTGGACCTGCCCTGGACTGGTGAATGCTGAAAGTCAAGAACCCCTCACTTGTAGGCAAACCAGAGCCAAGTCATTTAGGCCTGTGTAGGACATGGTGACATGGAATGGACCTGGAGCAGATGCAGGGGAATGATAAGGTCTGGATTATATTTTAAAAGTTGCTCTTGTTGACTGCTGAGGGGAGTAAGAATGGCACTTTACTATTATAGTTTTGTTTTTTTATTGTAGCCTGAATTAGGTGACTTGGATACCTGGCAGGAAAATACCAGTGCATGGGAAGAAGGGGAAGATGCAGCCTGGCAAGCAGAAGAAGTTCTGAGGTATTTGAGTAATGTTTACATTGCAACATGAGTCGGACGACTAGATTTGTTCATGTTACACTAGATGTCAAGAAAGCTTATTCTGCCAAATGGTACATTTTTCTTCATTCTCATTTGAACCTCTTATACTACTAGAGGCCTGGTGCATGAAATTCGTAACGGGGTGGGAGTGTCCCTCAGCCCAGCCTGCACCTCTCCATTCTGGGACCTCTCCAGGGATGTCGTCCAATTGCCTGTTAAATGGGCAATCCTACATCCCTCTCACAATCCCGGACTGCTGGCTCCCAACTACTCACCTGCCTGCCTTCCTGATTGCCCCTAACTGCTTCTGCCTGCCAGCCTGATCACCCCCTAACCACTCCCTGCCAACTGATTGATGCCTAACTGCTCCCCTGCCAACCTGTTTGCCCCTAATTGCCCTTTCCTGCAGGCCTGGTCACCCTTAACTGCCCTCCCCTGCAGGCCTGGGTCCCTCCCAACTGCCCTTCCCTGTACACTGGTTGCTCCCAACTTCCCTCCTCTGCTGACCTGGTCACCCCTAACTGCCCTCCCCTGCAGGCTTGATCGCCCCCAACTGCCCTTCCTTTACAGGCCTGGTCCCTGCCAACTGCCCTCGCCTGTTGGCCATTTTGTGACAGCTATCTTATATGTTGGAGTGACAGTCAATTTGCATATTACTCTTTTATTAGATAGGAGGATAGAGGCCTGGTGCATGGGTGGGGGCAAGCTGGTTTGCCCTGAAGGGTGTCTTGGATGAGGGTTGGGATTCCGTTGGGGCATGGGCCGGCCTGGGTGAGGGGCCTGTGGTAGTTTGCAGGCCAGCCACTCCCCTTGGTGATCCAGGTGGAGGCCCTGGTATTTGGGATTTATTTATCTTCTATAATTGAAACTTTGTAGTCTTGAGCAGAGGTTTGGGCCAACCAGGAAGCTTGGCTTCCTCCATCGCTGGGGAAACCCAAGCCTCCTGCTTGCTCCATGGCTGTGGCCCTTTTTGGGGGGATTTATTTATTTTCTATAACTGAAACTTTGTAGCCTTGAGTAGAGGCCAGGGCCAGCCACCGCATGCAGGAAACTTGGCTTCCCCCATTGCCAGGGAAACCCAAGCCTTCTGCTTGCTCCGTGGCGGAGCAATCTTGGTTGGGTTAATTTGCATGCTCGCTCCTGATTGGCTGGTGGGCATGGCTTGTGGGTGTAGCAGAGGTACAGTCAATTTGCTTTTACTCTTTTATTAGATAGTATGGGATTTTTTTAATTTCAGACCATGCATGCTATTTTATGTGGTTAAAACCTCACAAACCACTAATGTATAGTATTGTAGAAGCAAATAAATAATTTTATTAATGGCAGATAAGATCTTTTAGATATATACACTACATACTTTATACTTCATTCCCTGTAAAACTACATATCTCTTGAAATGTCCTACTATAGAATGTGAGTATCACTATGTCATTTCTGTTGAAGTGAAAGTGACAATGCTAGTTTGAAACTTGGTTTTTCACTATGTATTCCTCCAGGTCAGAAATTATACTTTTCTTTTTATTTCCCCATGGTCTATTATAGAGATTAGCCCCTCAAATATGAATTAAAGTAACTTATATAGCATTCTACATTTGTAGTGTATCTGAATTGATGCATTCAAAGCCCTATGAGGTCAATAATGTAAGTCAGGTACAGTCCATTCTACAGAAAAGAAAATATACTGGAGGGTTTCAGGTTTATTTTTGTTGGTTGGTATATTCTTATTTCTTTGTTCTTACAAGTAATAAACTTAATTCTTGCTATCTGGGTTAGCTGAAAGAGTAAAAATAAAATTTGCTTAAGAGAGTTTCTGACTATAATCACTGATGAAAACCCAGCTATTTACATGTATCTAAATTATATTTGCATCTTGAAAGATGATATAGTAAAATACAGCTATTTTATTTTAAAAGATTGCTTTTTTAATAGGGGTAGAAAATGAATTGCCCTTTATCTATTTTAATAAAAAAACTAATTTCATTTTTGTATTTTCCTTGCTTGTCTTTATCAATAAATTACTATTACCTTGAACAACCAGCAGAGGGTGCAGTTAAGTAACTGGAAGTCATGACTGACTTTCTCTTTTAGTCCTGTTCTTGTTTTCAGGGTTCCCCTTCTCCTCCACACACACACATACACACACATACTAAGGGGTCGTTTTAAAAGCTAGTAAAATTATGAGAGTTTTAAATATTTCGTTCCTATTTGATAGTTATTTAGTATAAAGGAAATATTTTTAAAATTTCACACGCCATCATTTATATATATGTGGACTATCCAAAAAGATAGATCATTTGTCTTTTTACTCTCTTTTCTGGATAAATCATAGATATTGAATTCTGAGTATTTTAGAACATATTGGGGATTTTACTAACCACAAGGATAAAGAAAGGGGGAAAGGGCTGTTTATTTTGAACCCAGCAATCCTAATGACAGCACTGTAGAGCACATGAGTTCACAAATATCTAAGCATTCGCTGAACAAAACCTTCTCTTTCCCACGTTATCCTCTTGTTCCCTGAATGAAACAAGACCAAAAACCAAAGTTAGTGTTTCACGTGATACCACATCTTAGTAAGAAGACATGTTTTGTGCCACAAAGTTGCCTAAACTCTTTCCACTACTATGATCAATTTCATTAAGGAAAAAGACTTTCTACCTTAGTAATTCCAGATGTGTATCAACAGAAAAGATATTTTGTCTGCAGTAATCTCTGAGTTTCTTCTTGTGCCAGAAACATTAATTGTTTATGTTTATATTTTAGCTACTGACCAGACCAAGGCTTGAATATCCTATTTGTTTGTAACATAGACAGCCTTTTATGATTCTTTCCCTATCTCCCTTACCATGGGCATTTTGACTTTTTTAGTGCAAATATCAGTTTTGCTTGAAAGTGGGAAGAACTAGTGAAAACTAAAATTTTAAGAACTATTATTTTAAAGCTGGTTAGTTGGCGGTGATGGTCAAAATGTTGCCTAAAACAAGTCTCTGCTTTCTTGAATTTTGGTCATTTTAACTGGTTACTCCCAGTTGTAAGTATAATTGAGATTTGTATATACATTTCACTCACTGTAGTCAGCTTGCTACTATGTATATAGGTAATCTAGTAATCTATACTAGATTTTTCTTTATATAACCTAGTATGGCCTATGCCATGCCCAACTGTGCTATAGCTTTCTTCTTCAACCCTGCATGTTTCTTATTTTCTCATACCCTAAACCTTTAGATTTAGGAAGAACTTCTGTTTCTCTCCTTTGGCCTATTGCGTCACCCACTCCTACTCTCATGATGTGCAATTAGTTAACATCCTGCATGCGGCCCCTTTATTAGTATTATAGATCTGGTCAAATGTCAATCCTTAATTGTTGTTTTTTTTTAACTACATCGTTTTGCCTGAAAATCCAGGATGAGATCTTTTTCTTTGTGCTTTTTTAAAGTTATTATTATTGAGAGGAAGGGAGAGAGATAGAGAGTTAGAAATATCGATGAGAGAGAGACATCGATCAGCTGCCTCCTGCACACCCCTTACTCGGTGTGTGCCCACAACCAAGGTATGTGCCCTTGACCAGAATCGAACCTGGGACCCTTTAGTCTCTAGGCTGACACTCTATCCACTGAGCCAAACCTGTTTCAGCCATATCTGTGTTCTTGACATCCTTCCCTGTTTTTTAAATATTACAGTAATGGGAGATTGATTCGTCAGTATCAGCCTTTTCTGAATGGTATGTAAAACAAGCAGTGAAAAGAATGAAGACTTTTTACCTACATTTGATGCTACTAAAAAGACACTGCTATTTCTTTCTGGAATGTATTTGCCATTTTACCTGTGTGGTATTTTCTAAAAGTGAAAATGGGAATATGTTTCTTTTCAGGCAGCAGAAGATGGCAGAGAGAGAAAAGAGGGCAGCAGAACAACAAAGAAAGAAAATGGAAAAGGAGGCACAGCGGCTAATGAAAAAGGAGCAAAACAAAATTGGTGTGAAACTTTCATAACAAATGTTCTTCATATGTCATAGTGCCAGTGGAAGAAATACAAAATCCACAACCCAACCAAAATTTGTATGGATCTAAGAGTATTTCCCGAATACAAACACACTGTTTGATTTAATGCATTCATCAGGCCATTCAGGACACTAGGATTCTGTCAAAGTACCTTGAACTTGTAAGTGACTGAGACTCAAAAGAACAAAAAGACTTATGAGACAATATTTTCTTCAACATGTTCCATTATAAGACAGTTATTTGCTATAAGCAAATTATTACAAATGGAATATGCCAGTACCTCTTCGAGTTGGTGTTTCTAGCTGAATAAATGGGTGTAAATAATTTTGTGGTGGAAAGAACTTTGTCGTCTATAATGTTCATTGTGCATAATGATAAAATAAATAATTTTAAATATTCACTTGTTTCCATGATTACCCGACCTAAATCAGACAAAATTGCAGGGTTTTAACTTTTCTATTTCTGTTGTCAGACGCTGGTGTTGGCATACATTTCTTCTAATTTGGACTGGCATTGTTTTTATTCAGTACAACGTTAAAGAATCCAATGAGTTTAGTTTTCAAGAAAATAACATTAAATGCAATTTTATTTATCATAAAGATTTTTGTACATCATTTTCTTTTAGATGGTGTTATAATGTTATAAATATTTATAATTTATATTGCATGTATAATAAGCACGTTGAAAATCAGATAAAATGGCAAACACATTTATTTTACATTATTATGACTGTGAGTTCTAAAAACTGATATCAGTAATTATTCCTTTTTATTGTAGATTTTTAAGATGTTATCGTCTCTTAAGAATCTTAAGTTCCTCCTCCCCAAAAGCATTCGTTTACAAAACTCTTTCAAAGCATTCAGATGATTTCTGTATCAGTTTTATATATCTGGCATAATGCAGATTACCTGTGTTAGCCACATTAGTGATTTATTAAATTATAAACCAAGGTAGGGAAAACAATGACTTTATTTGTGGGTGTCCACTAGCTCTAACATAGTTTTGCGGAAATAAGATAGATATTGTGTTCACAGGTAAAAAGAAAAAGTAGATTTATTAGTTTAAAGGCCCAATAATTTTTTCTCCACAATTAAAAGACATCCAGCCTGATTTTCTAGGGCTTTTAGAATTTTTAAAGGTTTATACTTTCTGAAGAGTTGTTGCCCAAAATTAACACTTAGTGGATTTTTAAAATGTCATACCCTACAGACCAGTATTTCTAAAATATTTGAGTTGAAGTATTTCATAATAAATATTTCATGATAAACTATACAGTGAGGGCTCCCTAAATCCTTAGACTAATCTTCCAGAGTAAATGTAACTGTGGAATCAGTGAAATTTAACTTTGGCAAAAAGCTTTCTATAGCCCCAAAGCACATTTTCAGATATGTTTATTAGAGAATATTTGCCAATAAACTTCCAACTAAATAGAATTAGATTTAAAATTTTAATTACATATAAGTGTACATTTCTGTTACTTGTATTTATTTATTTTTAGTTTAGGAATTCTGTTATTTTCTAAATTTGGGGTTCATAAAGAATAAAATTTCCCATAATACAATAAATTTACTGTTTTTCCCTAATACTTGAACAAGTATCAAAATCTTCTTTAGTCATGATTTTCATGTGAGATTTTTGTTTTTGTTTATTTAGAAATAAAGACTGTTTAGGAACTATAATTTCTTTTACTGGGAAGAGATTTTTCTTGTGGGAAGAATAACAGTCTGGACATATTTTTTCACTTCTGTTGGTATGTAAATTAAATTCCTGTATTAAACTGGTTTTATTGTCCCAAAAGAAGTCATGGATCTAAAAACATATGATAAACATTTCATGGTAGCGAACTGGTTTTTTAGCTTTTAAATGTATGGTTTCTGTTTTTGGTAATTTTCTTAAGAATTACCAGTTAGAAGCTTATTAGAAGTAAAAAAGAAGTACTAACAGGCATAGATAGGATAAGCGAAGTGTTACCCTTTCTGAATTGAGTATTTCATGTACTGAGATGACAAATAGTCATGTGAAACTTTTTTTATATATTCATTCATGGTGTCTAGCTATTTTCAATTATTAAGCTTTAGCTAGGGATACCCACTAGGTGACTCAGCTCTTTTTAAGTAACATGTTTGAACATTGTTTAAAATTTATCTTTATTATTGAAAGTATTACAGATGTCCCTTTTCCTTTCCCTTTTGACCCCCTCTACCCACACCCATCCCCCTCAGGCCTTCACCACACTGTTGGCACTATCGGCTGTTTTCATGGGTTATGCATATATGCATATAAATTCTTTGGTTAATCTCTCTCTACCCCTAACCCCTGCTTTCCCTCAGATTCCTCAGTCTGTGGACCTTTTAGAACTGACAATTAAAACTCAACATCTGGATTCCTCAGTTTTGACATGCACTCACCTCTGGCCAGGTCAGTGACTGTTCCTGGATGAAGATTGGTGGTTGGAAAGAAGGTGGTAGCTATAGAAACGCATCTGGATGGAGCTTCCAAACACCACTCCGAATTACCACTATAGTGTAAACCTAACCAACACCAATGTTATTTACTGAAAGGTTGCTCTGAACCAGGTGTGGCTAACACACATTTTGTTTAGTCCTTGGGGATAACATACTGCTATGATTTTCATTCTTTAGCACCTTGTTCAAAGAAAATCTTTCATACGATGTCTAAGCAAAGGCAACAGTTACCAAGGTGAGTGGTTCTGGCTGAAGCCAAATTGGGAGAGTTGACTCTAGGACCTCCGGTTTGTTCAGGGTCACCCCACTCAGGCAGATTGGAGGGCTGCAGAGATGGTGGGGCTATGCAGAGCTTATTTTAGTAGCTAATAACTTGTTTTTACCATTTACGTAGATTTTAAAAATTTGAGGAGTTCTCTCCTAGTATGGAAGAGAGCTTTTTTGTGTGTAATTCACTTTAATACAACAAAGGCTGTTCAAGGTTACAGCAACAGCTAATGACACTTATATTCAACTGTTTGTTTTAAAACTTGCTTTCTGTGTTTGATCCTCAGTACTCCTTAGTCATGGCCATTGGGCATGCTCAGTAACTAGAGTAAGTTTTGAGAGAAGTAAGATGCTTTTACACCAGAACTCTCAATCTTCAGGGCTGGGAAGAGACACTGTTCTAAGGAACCCCTCTGACCAAACCTCACAACAGATCTCTACCCTTGCAGAGCTGCTGCTGACGCTGCTAATCCATAAGCAGGAGCTTTTGCAGAGAAACCAAAGTGTGTGGCCTGCCCGACATAATGTCAGCCGTGGCTATTGACGCAAGTACTTTGCCTGTGTATTGATCTGATCACACCAATCTGAGAGCTCAAGGTTCTCAGCGCTGCTGCAGAGAAGGGGCCTTGTTAAATAAATTGCCTGAGTTTGGAAATCATCTCAATGAATCTAGTTTTAATGATTAACTGAGACTGTAAGTGGCACATATACACTGAGTGGACAGATTATTATGATCTCTGAATGCATAATAATCTGGCCACTCGGGGTGGGGGAGTATGTGAATGTGGAAAAAAAAATTTATATATATATATAAAAATATTAGAGGCCCAGTGCATCCAGTGCATGAATTCATGAATTAATGAGGTCTGGCCAACCCAGGGAGGGGACATGGGCAGTTGTCCAGCCTGCCTGCTGGTTGAACTTTTGGTTGAGGGGACAATTTGCATATTAGCCTTTTATTATATAGAATATACAATGAGTGGCCAGATTATTATGTTCAGAGATCAACAAATGGTAGTTATTATGAGGCCCTATCCACACTTCTTTATGAGCTCTTTACACACTTTTCCAAATACTGGCTGTGCACTGATATGGCAGCCCCTTAATTTATATAGGGAGAGTAGGAGAAGTTGCAGTATTAATTTTTACCTAACCATAAGTTGACCTGCAAGTTTAATAAGGAAGAGTACATTTATCATGTGTTCAGCACTGTCTGAGAGTCTTTAATTATATCAATGATTCCTTGCCATCTGGTGAGGTAGACATCCCCTTTTCACATGTAAGGAAACCAAACCTGAGAAGGCAGCCTTGCACTAGATGAATGGAAAGGAAAATAGCTTTGAGAGCAGGTTATGGTAGTGGTCAATTAGCATTCTTCACTTCAAACTGAGCTACCAAAGAGTTAGCCTTTAGAATTTCCTCAGTTTTAAAGAACTCTATGAAGATGATGTTACAAATTATAGTAGATAATATCCATTCATGTTTTCTAAGATATAATAAATATGAAAGAAATTATCTTGGCTTCTATTTTCATGTAAATAACTATATTTAAATGTCACTGCCATGCAATTATGTATTTCCAGGTTGCTTGGTCAGATATTATAATTAAGGCAAAATGAGATGTGGTTTATATTCACACATTTGGACAGGCCAATTAGCTCACTTGATTGGGTCATAATTCTAATGAGGCCAAGGGCACAGGTTTCATGCATGTGAAGACCAGTACTGTACCCAGGACCTTTATGCCACAAACTGCGCCCCTGACCTTGTCCAGTCACTTTTTTAACATGTATCTTCAGGATCTGGTTCAGAGAGTGATTGGCCCAGAAAAAAATCATCCTCATGCATAGAAACTTCAAAGGATGTACTCTGAATCCATGGTATGTTGAGAGAAGTTGTTATGGTTTCTTATTCTTATGTCAATTTTGGCTCATCATAATATATTAATTTCTTCCTATATTGGTTTTACTTGTTAAAATATTCCAATCTTAATTTGAATCCTTAATTTTTATAGCATTGCAGTTTCCAAACCTATTGACTATTTCTGAATAAAATAAGTGTATACCTTTATGGAGAAAAATGACATCATCATTAGATATGTTGGCCCCTGAAATAATTTTTTTTTAATTATTTTTTTTATTTTTAGAGAGAGAGAGGAAGGGGAAGAGAAAGACAGAGGCAGAGACATTGATTTGTTGTTCCACTTATAAATGCATTCACTGGTTGTATCTTATATGTTCCCTGACCAGAGATGGAACT